TTAACATCATTTATTTTTTAAATAGGCTCCATTTTGCAATTTTTAGCTCTCCCTCAGATTCAATATTTTTTTTTTTTTTTTATTACAGCTAGGCTTAAATTCATCATCTTGCTTCTACATTTTGTTTCCTTTCGTATAACTGCTGAAAAATCCATCTTTACCACATTTTAGTATTAGCTTTGATAATATCATTGAGCTGCCTTTTCCTAGTGATAAATATCTTTAAGGTTTGTCCTACTCACACTGATAAAACTCTCACAGGCTTATTGCTGAATTGCCAGTAGTGCTGATTTTCAACTTTAGTCCATTCTGATAAAGACAAAATAAAGAATTTGAGTCAAAACAGAAATCAGAGAGTGACCTACTTAAAAACAGCTAGTTGCAAGGTTACTAGGATATTTTTGAAAAATGTTAAAAGCTTAAACTCAAATTTCTGGTATAAATCAGATGATTTCAAATTTCCAAAGTCCTTCACCGGAGTGAGTAACTCAAGTGCTATGGTACTTGCTCTTCCAGGGTGGTTTCCAGTCACCCCAGTGCAAACTGAAGGGGAAAAAAAAAATATTGGAAACTTTTCACAGCCCTTCCCAGGCAGTTCTGGTCCCATTTGTTCTGCTTTTTCTCCTTCATTTCCATTCATTCCCTTTCATTACAACCCTGCAAAGCCTACTCTAGTTTTCCCAGTTTAAATTCAACCCTCTGACCTTTAAAGAATGTTACAGCTTTTTCTCCTTCCTCCATCTCAGAAATCTTGAAAAATAATATTCAACCTCATTGCCTCTTGCTTGATTTCTTTCTACAGGCAATTCTTTCAACTCGTTTAGAAACTCATACTTCTTCCCTTCAGCTGTTACAGCTTCCCAAGCAATTGCTGAGTAGACTTCGACCTCCTCCTTATTAAAGGCAACGAGAGACTCTCAGCCTCGGTCACTGCTAGTGCTGAGCGGTATGAGTGATCTCGTATGCAAACAGGAACTGTGCTCGCTGGTTTCTCTTACTCCCTTTCTCTTGCTTTTTGCTTTTTCCCATGCTTTTAACCTTTTCTTTCTCCTCTTTTTTCCGTTCCATCCTTTTCTCCTTTTTTTTTTTTTTCATGGACCATCTGTAACAGGATAATTTCACAGTTCTCTACCAATGTTGAATACCAATATAACATTTAACAGGAGCCATTGGCATGGCCCTGCCCACCAACCCCTGGGCTGTGTCTGACTCTGGTTCCCCTCACCGGGCCTGATCCTGACTCCCACCTGCATGCCCATGGAAGTGCCTGATGCCCACGGCTGGGGCTGCCCTCAGGGAGCCACTGGCCCTTGCTCTTCAAGAAACCAAGCTAAAGATATGAGTAAAACTTCACAGCGCCCCCAAAAGCAAACCAAACAGAACACACACACCCCCCCCGAAGCTCTGTTTTACTCCTGCACACAATTAACACCCACTAAAATCTACGACTTTTGTGTTTGTACCCAGCAAGCCCCACAGACTCTGTGGTTGTATAGTTTTCATCTTGGATTTACAAGAAAGTCAGCAAGTGAGAGTCAAGTTTTTATTTTGGTTTTACAGGAAAATAAAAGTACCCAATTTTAAAAAGACATTAACCAATACGTTACTCCCTAGTACTGCTGTCAGAGATAAGAATCGAGCCTCCACCAAGTACGTGGTGATAAAAGCAGTGGGTTAGTCAAGCACAGGCAAGAAAGCACTAAACCACTAAAAAAACCCCACCCCATATATTCCAAAGGCTGTAAATTAAGACAACAACCAAATAAAACTTTAAGGAGAAAACAGTTATTAAGATAAGGTTTGCATAGTATCAATTTCTCAGAACCTACTAATATTGTTTTCATTAAAGATTAATATTCTCCCCCCCCCACCCCCAAAAGCCATTAGCAAGGTGTGCTAACCAGTGTGTCTGTATTTCTGCACTATCTGTGGATCAAACCCAGTACTCGTATAACGGTATGAAATCCCTGGAAAAGGAGCTTAACAGAGGCTTTTCTTTCCTGAGCTGATAGTTAAAAGTAAATAGTAATTATAAGAGAAATGAAATGTGCTTATTTCCCTTCCATTGCCATTTAACTAACTTTTTCTTAGCTTTCAAAAACACTTATTTTAAAAATAAATAAAGGCTCAGTTAAAAATAAGGAGGAAAAAAAGATGAAAATGATAAGGCATTCACCACTGAGTTTCTCGCAGACATTTTGATATGTTCATTTGTGGGTGGAGCCTGACTCTAAATAAATCACTCTCATCATTCTTGAGTGTTTGAAAAAATCTGCACAGGATCTCAAGGTGATGATAGAATGGATATATAAATATATGCACGTATTCATAGACACTCAATGCCTCTCTATCCATAGTTACATGGATGGGGGTGTAGGCAGAGACCAGTTCTGGGGGAGAAGGCAAGGGATGAATGGGCAGTGCACAGAATGGTGTAGAGTGGCCTAAATACCATTTTCACCACTTTATTCTACAGTGATGAAATAAGTCAGTAAATTCTACCTTTTTTTTTTTTTTAAATCAACAATCACAGAGAAATAATAATCAATGCCTTTGTAAATGGCCTGAAAAACTGCAGATAGAAATTGTGCTGTAATATTAATGACCCACATTTGTGTCTGGCATAAATCAGTTTATCTTCACTGGCTCCATTGAATTTGGTCCCATTCCATCTTCTGAAATTCTGCTGCGCAATTTGTATGTGATGTACAGTTCTTCACATTTAAAATATATTTTTTTTAATTACTCACAAGTTTACTTACATTTTGTAAAATATACAAAATGTATATTTTTGTATTGAGGAACAGGGACTTGGTCTTTAAGTAATAAATCCCAGCATTAATAAGCGGATGTTGTCAAGATACACTTAGTCCAGAGCTTCTAGCACTTAGTTACAATTAAAATTATATTAAAAAATGCATTAAATATGAAATGTAAGTATTTACTGTTCCTATTGTTGATCTGTATAACTGTGCTTTATACCTTCATGCTTATATGCTTCAAAGGAGTCAGTTACTCCTTTGAAAAATTAATAATAAAAAATATCACAGAACATTAGGTCAGAAATTTTAGTTGAATAAAAAGTCTGAAAAGATGGTTTGTTTTGCTTAATAAAGAAATCTTAGGGACAGGAAGAATTCTTTAAAATCTCTCCTTTAACAAAAGGAGACTTTAACACAAGAGTGCAAAAACATATTTAACCATCTCAGATTGAGCAGATTATTTTCTTTTTGTGAATTCATAATACCAGTTCATAAACTTTTGCTACTAAGGTAACTTTACAGTACTCATTGCACTGATCTCTTGTTGGGTAGTAAAAAATAGGGGGACTAATAAAAACAAGTTTCGGATCCACTTTTGCTTCTGCCACCTAAAAACCCACATGACGTTTAAACTGGATCACTAAACTTTGAGCTAAAAAAAAAAAAGAAGCAAACCTTATTGCAATATCTTCAGGCTATACAGGGCCAAACCCGACCCTCTGGGTTCAAGCAGATGTAAAGTGAACGTGAACGTTGCGTAGGAAATAGCTGCGTAGAGCCAAATAGAGCGTGTACTGTAGGCTCAAGATTATATTATCGATGCCTGACCTCTCCCCAAAAAGGGCTCTCTGCAGCTCACAGGAAAGCCTGGGGAAGTTAATTTATACAGATTTGCGTGAACCTACAAGCGTTGTGGGAGTTCAAGGCACAATTTTCTGGTCATAATCACAAGAATCCACACTTGGGCTATAATTTCCAATAAATCATAATGAAAAGTCAGAAAGAGAAGAAATTCTGGATTTTGGTCATTGGGATTTATCTGTGCAGCTAGGGCTTGGTGTCCCAATTAGGGCTAAACAATAATAAACTGGGGATAACACTAACACAACAAGCAGTATTAAATCATTCCAACATTTTTTTTTAGCTCATTTTGCTGATTTCTATGCTCAAAGCTAACACAGAGGCTGCCAGAGCTACGACAGTTTTTGCTTTTCTATCTCACAGGGAGATGTCTGGTTGTTTTGTCTGAATGTTACATTTGCCGTGTCCTGAACTGGTGCATTCTCATTTGTTCCTTCTAAAATAATCTTGATGATTTTAAAGCCCAGATGAGCAAGTGCGGTGAGATAGGGGAGGATCAGCTCAGACATTTTCAGACATCTACACTACGTTCATCTATATTACTGCTGGTCACTTGTACGGTGAGTGGAGGCACAGTCCGTAAAGTCAATGAAATTCAAAGCAGGATTCATCTGAACAAGAGTAGACCACTACTTCAAGATGAAAGCACTTGATAGTATTGCCTGCACTGAACAATTCAGAGGCACATAGCAACAGATAATACCGAGTCTAAAGGAGTCTAAAATGGCCAGCTTAGACTTAATCACCTACACTTAGATGAATCCAAGCCCTGCTCTGTGAAGGCAAAAATATGTTTAAAAAAAAAAAAATAATCAATGTTTTTTCCCAGTCTACCCATCTAGCAAACTTTTATATTTTTTATATAATCTATTTATTTTATATAGTCTATATATTTTTAAACTCTAGCAGACTTTTATGGTTTTTAATCAGGTAATATATTTTCAGTCGCTCAAATGTATTTTCAATGAAAAATTGTTTTGTTTAGAAACACAACTTCAGTTACCAGCAAGTGCATTCACCTGCACAGACCACAGAGCAATGCCTGTAATGATTTTCTGGAGACATATAATACATAATCAACTGATTCAGAAAGAACTTGAAGAAAAGGCCGTGTATTATTTACTAAAATCATCGAAACTTTGATGAGGTATACTAGCCTTGATGGTTTAGCGAATCTCTTCTCTTATATGGCTCTTGTCAGTATGACTTCTGCAGGAGCATTGAGTAGAGAATTAAAAAAAAAAAAAAAATCACAGTCGTTAATTTGTTTGTTTACATCTTGTTTTCAAGCATAGGTTCCCCTCTGTGTTACTGGTTTCAGAGGACTAAATGAAAGTTTTAAGTGACAAGAGTGAACAATATTTCAAGTGAGCTTACCAGTTTCAGAGAGCAGTTTGGTAGCTTCCAGAACCTTCTCAGTATAAACTCCAGTTTCATAGTTTTCCATCTCGGCGTTAATGATGTGAATCACTCTGGCTGCACGGCCTCGGATGGCACCCGCAGTTCTGTCCAGTGTATCGACATCCCCCTCTTGGAGAGCAATCACACACTTATTCACATCTTCCAGAATATGGTTTTCTAGAATGTAGTAAAAAAAAATAAGGCTCATCTGAGTCTTCGTAGCAAAGCTTACTGGTTTGGTTAAATAGATAAAGTCAGTATGATAAAAAATTGGTACCTGTCCTTATCCAGGTCTGCAAAACAAATACCATTCTGTGATAATATGCCACATAACAGTAAAAATCCCAAGTGTGCTATTTATCTTTTAAAGGGACTGGGCTACGTCCTCTCACCTCTACTGCAAGTACCAACTTGTAATTCTTTGAAAACCAGTCACATTAATTGCAAACATCACACTGAATTTCATTATAATGAAAGTGTCATAAAAAACAATGCAAAAAGGAAAGCAGTCAAATATCATGCAGATGCTCTAATAAGCAGTTGGGCAATTTTCTGAAGATGAATTTACACATTCCTATAAATGTTTAACATATTTGGTTCATTTGTGCCTAAATAAATTAGAAAAGAAAATAAATCATTTTGAAAAGACAACGGCAAATGGCCTTTCTAGATAGCAGAAGCCTGGGCACAAGCAGTTCATCTCCTTTACTCCATCTATGCCAGAAATTAAGGGGTGAATTTTCCATGATACGCAGTATAACCACATGTGACTCTGCATATTCTGAAATCAGACTTGACAACAGTGAGTCTGCACAGATGAGGTGACATCCAGTAGCTTTACTGAATTCTTGGGAGGTGCATCATTTTTTCTCAGCTCAGAATCAGGCCATCCACATTCACGTGCTGCAGCATCACAGTTTATGTAGCTTTCTCACATACAGATCATGTGGAAGGATGAAGCACGTTTGGACTCAGTCAGACATTATTTCCCTGCAGCCAGTACAGTTAAAAATCATTTCAATAATAAAACTAAGTCCGAATTTCATATTTGAGCAATTTCACCCTGAGAAACTCAGCAACTCTACACAGCAATTTACTGTTCTGCCACAGACAGCACTAAACTGAAAATGAAACATTGTTCATTGTAGTATTAATAAATAAAACAAAATCAATCAGTTCACCAACTGCTTTTGGTTAATTATCCTTGGCCACAAAACCAGAATGACGCACTAATCTTCACTGTTAAAAATCCCAAGGTTGAATCATTTGAGGGTTTCAGAAACATTTTACATGGTGTTGAATGTTAAATTGTAACAAAATCTGAATGAAAACTGAAAGTCCCCTGAGCTGTGAAACAGAGTAACTTGCAAGGCAGAATTCTTTCTTTAAAAAATTCTCTATCCACATTTAAAAATTTGTTTTGCTAAAATATTTCTTCACTATTTCCTCCTCACCATCATCAATTTTTACCATGACATAGCCAAATTTTGCCTATCAGGAAGCGCTATATGGATTTGAACAGAGAGTGCATTTGGAATATGAAGTAACTGATTAAAATTATGGTCAGCCTTCTTTTGGTAGCCACTGTTAATGAAACATGCCATCAAATGTGACGCTCAATATGAAGAGGAGGAGGTGTCATTTCACGCGTTACGTTTAATCCGACCCAGCCCATTTTGAATGCTTCACTGGTTTAACGTCCAAAAATAAAACTACCCTGTGTAAGCTGAGACTTACAGCTAGCAGCACTGTGCTTTCTGGATACATGAGATGTTTTCTCATTTTTAATAGAGATGTCTATGGACAATATTAGAGAAAAATCTGAAACCAACAGAAATACTACCTCTCAGCTGCCTTGGAAAGTTTGGATCTAAGTCAAGACTATGTTAGAAGAAAATATGATTTGAGGGGAAAAAAAAAAAAACAACCAAGCAAACGTCATCCATGCAAATAACTTCTGGTTTTATGGATACAAGGGCTTGGAGTGAACAAATTCCTCAAACAAAGAACCAAATGGCCATTTAAGCACATTTGCCATCATTTTGGCTTGTGGACTGGGTCTGAAGTCAGCAGCTTGGTCTGCCCTTTCATTGCAGAACTAGGTCTGTTGAAAAGTGTTTGCCAGCTTCAAATCTCGGGGGGAAAAAAAAAAACAAACAACTACGTGCTACCAGATTCTGAAGTACCTTTTTAGTCTGAGAGTTCATTTTCTTGTCATGGCTTGCGATAAACACTCTAGCAGTGGTGTCGAACAGTGAAGTGTAATTATACTAAACCAAGCCATTTCCCTGTTACTAATAATAGCAGGACACAAGCAAACAAAATAAAGGGCAGGGCAAAAAAAGCAAATTAAGGTTTTTTTTGTTTTTAAGGATAACTATTTTTTGCTCTAAACTTTTGTTAGGAAATTTAGGAAAACTCCAAGAAAAAACTGTAGACTGAAATAAAATTAAGGCCAACTTCTCTCTCAAAGTTTGGCTCTTCTGTGACATTAGAGTAAGCTAAGCACACCTGACCCACTCTGTGTCCTTATTCACAAGGAAACCCACATCTTTCAAACTCTAATAGGAAAATGAGTTTTCTGCAGCAGACAATTAACCCAAGACGTGCAGCACTTTGCAATTATAGCATTCATGGTGTATGACTACATTATAACATGCACTCTGCCACAAGTTGTAGCACTTTATGAGGAGGATGGAGAAAAGACCTTGACCCAAAGAGGCAATGTCCTTCTCTTCTCCATCCTTTCTTTCTGTAAGGACTAAGATACTCTGTCTGTTTTCACAGAAGAGCTTGCTTTGCACTCTAATCCTTCCTAGGGAGGACAGAGAACCACAAAGATTTGCTGTTTCTTATACTGCTTTACTACTTCTCTCTGTTTGCTTGCATTGCTACGCCAATAACTCTGGGACCCAGAAGCGCTCCCCAGCTCTCTGGAAGTGTATACACTGCTCCTGTCCAGAAAAGATGGGACTCATACGCAGCATCTGCCTATTTCCTTTCTTCCTATCCCTCTTCAGGGCCTGGTAACCTGGTGTAGATGACTGGGGACCAGGACTGTATGGTACCTCTGCCCCACTGTTTAGACACACCTGATCTGAGCAAAGCTAGAAAAGCAAGGACGGAAAGTTCATCTTTCCTCCTCTTGCCTACAACTGCATGAGGACTCTAACAATCTTTACAAATACTGTCAGGCTGTCACAGGTCTGTAATACATTTTTAAAAGGTGGCCAAAATCGTACTTTGTGCCTGAGTTGAAACAAAGCTTCTCTAGAAATAGAAGTACAAATAGGATGCTATTTTCTGAGAGATGAAAAGCCAACCACTGCTACCAGAGATTAATTGGCATGGCTTGGTTGCTCCTACGGAGTGCAGAAGATCAGCATTCCAATAGGGACGGACTAATGGACTGATGATGCTTTAGTAATTATAGCTTTTTCTCTGCTCCAACTCACTGCATTAATTCAGGATTATATTTTTAGAAGATCCCCTTGATCCCAGTACCTGAAACAGAGAGGAAATCATCCACCGAAGTGATGTCATCAACAGCTTCCGTGAGAACTCGCACTTGTTTCTCCCACTGATCTTTGAAGACGTCCATGTTGTCCTGTGCTACTTTGCTCTGGGGTCTGGCGGCCAACGTGAGTGCAGCATTTATTACCTGTTATTCAAAATCATTTGTTATGAGGAATGGCAATTTTTTTTTTCACAAGGGAAAGGATAAATAGTTTACAGACTGTGTTAAAAATACAGCATTACACCCCATTCAATATGCCGGTCTCAAGACACAAATGTATTTTTCACAGTTCGTGGGAAGCAGGCAACAATGTAATGACAAAGGCAAAGCTACAATCTTCATCTAGGCTGTTTTCCCTGTCTCAGCGTTAACTGATGCTTTTTAATGCCAAAAGAGTTCTCAAGTACTTTCTAGCAGGAATCTTACTTACCTGTGGGCACAGACTATCAATCTGTGTTGCTGCCATACGGACTAACTTCACACCTTCTTCATTATTCGAGATTGAACATGCCAGATTTGCAACCTGCAATGAAATCAGCAGAATGAGAATCAAGTTTTAGGCAAGAAGGCCATTTTATACCTTTCCCTCTTCCTATTGAGCATTGCCTAGAAAGAAAGAATTGCATACAGGAGGAATGATACAGCATCTTCTGTGCTGGTGGACAGAAACCCATGTAGATTATTTCCTTACTAGCAACCTGAAGTAGCCAGCGTCATTAGATTTTTCTCAAAATCTTCCCTCACTGTCAAGTGTTTCACATCTGCCTCTACAGCTTGAAAATAATCTCCTGGGAAGTCATATAGAGAATGTAGAGCATCCAGACAATTACCTATAAATTTTCTTTCCCCACGGTTTCTTTTTCCTTTTATTAACCATATCCATTATGAATACTAGTAATCAGACTCATCCATATACTCTGAGCTTTGATGTCCTGACCCTTGGAATTTTCCACCCATAAACAAAACACCGATACCTTCACTGATACTGGGAAGCTACATATTCCTCAAGTATCTTCATTGTTTCAGATCCTGATCTTTTTATGCATGTTAAAATTGTTTTAATTCTCAGTTGGACCTCTTTATTTCTATGTGATTGTCTGCCCTAGAGTAAAACGTCCATTAGCAAGAGTATCATAACTTGGTCATGGAAAATTTCTCTGTTGAAAGCCTCATTCTGTAACGTATGCCTGAAGATCTCCTTCAAAGATGTAGGTACCTACACGTGTTTGCTCTGGCACAGCTTTGGGAAGTCTGAACCTCACAAGATTGCAGACTGTTTGGATAAGATGAAGGCAGAGGAGACTTGGAGACACCTGAATGACATCCAGCAATCAGATCATGCCTCCAGACCCTGCAGAGCTGCCTCTCTCTGTCTGGGATGCAAGTGGCAGAGCATGTTCTCCCAGTTCATACAGTGCTTCTTGCAGAAAATCCATTCCCAGAAGCTTTGTGCCAAGTCCATGAATCCACCAAGCATTTTCCAAACAGCACATAATTCAGTCACAGTGCACATAATTAAGCTCATCAGTGATATTTAAATCACAAAGGTACATTCTGGGAGGGGGAAGACAAGATATTTTTTTAATCATCCAAAAGTATGGCTCTTAATTCTAATCTACGTTAAAACAAACTTATAAAATTTTAAATATGCTTCCTTGATATTATTCACTGTGCCTGAAGGCATAACTATCAGTTGGAAATGATTCATGAATTAGTTCAAATACCCCCATCTTTCCAATTTTCCTCCAGCCTCCCCTCGTGGTATTAATCTGTTCTCGTCTCCAGCGCACATCGCCACGTTAGCCCTGGTCCATCTGTTCTGCACAGAACCTATTTCTCTTCACAGTTATGTAGAATGTGGTTTGCATATATCTCAGTGCCAAAGCCCAGGGAAGAAAAGAACCTAAGGCTTCAAAGAGTCTTGCAGGCATTTCCTAGTCAAGATTTTATCATAATGTTGTGATTTTTATTTTCATTTCATGGTGAGACAAATGAGTTAGTCTGTTTGTTAACAGCCTTACAGCGCTCATGTCAAAAACGTTCTCCTAAGCTGACATCTTCCAATTAATTTACCATTTTCTGTAGTCAATTCTCTGCACACATCAAACAGACCACTTTAATCTTCATGAGAAACAAAAGCTAAGCAGGATAATAATTAGAATGCAGTAACATGAGTGGAAATTACAGACCTTAAAAACTAGCAAATGGTATTAAGTTCAGCAAAAGCTATCTCCTGTATTTTAAATAAGTGGGTTTTCAGATTGCCCTTTCATTTTGTGATTATCATGATGAAAATCTGTCCTAAGGCTCCAGATGCAGCATACATCTTACGTTTTCTCAGAGAGCAGCGAGATCTGTGACTGAAAGGGGCTGGGTCATGAAATGGCAATCAAACTATTAGCCAGGTCTTTGAGTTCTCTCGGAAAAGATCTTCGCAGAAAAAAAAAAAAAAAATCAGTGAAAATAAAACTTATTCCTTCTCTGTGTCTGTTAATTACTCTTTCAATAGACTCTGATGAGATAATATTTGGATATTGTAAAGTGTCCTAGTTTTCCAAGGAAGGACACAGAGATAACCAGAGAAAACTTTTTCTCCTTTTTTTTTTTTTTTGTAAAATAATGTAGAGTTCAGTACATTATTTTGGATGTTACCATCAATACAGAAGGAGTAAAAATGTAATCTATGGCTACATGAAATATGCATCAAAGGAGCATTACAGTTATCTGTTAAAAAAAAAAAAAAACACAACCAAAAATGAATCAGTGATCCATATCGTGTATAATCCTCATCTAAATAGTTTCTGTGGTATATTTCAAGACTTGCATAAATACAGTCCTGTATCATCAGCAGTCAGAAAGCAATACTACTTTCACAATTCAGCAGAGAGTACACCCGCCTGTGCCATGGGAAGATCTAATTATGTCAAATAAGCACCGAGATAAGCAAATCCTACAAAGGTAGATGCAATCTGGATAAAATTGAATTTAGCACTACAAATCAGAAACACTATGACTTTACACAAAATGTATTTTTAAAACATGGCAAGAAATAGGCATTACTTGCAAAAGCCTTCATTTCAGGGCTGTCATGTAAGCACGGACCTGTGAAACGGTACAGTTTTAAGTGCACTCAATCACCAGATATGACGCTACTTAATTATTTTGATTGGCTTTGTTATCAAGTGCACAATCAAGTTACCATCCATTAAGATTCTTGGCACAGCAAGGTCCATATGTATGCTCTCAGTCAATAGAAACCCTGAGGTAATTCAACATGCCTTAGCCTCCTATAAATTCAGCAACTTCAGATATTTTTCCTACTTAAAATTATGACCAAAAAAGCTTAGACTCAATTCCACTACACTTAGCTGAGACACTTTGGTTTAGTGCCAAAATCTCTTTGGATGATGGATAAAAAGAGAAAGACACTTCCAGAGACTGTCTCAGGTCTGGATGACTACCTCATCCTCTAGATGTATGTAGTTTATTATTTAAACTTAGATTATAGCTAGCCCTGACAATTGTTGAAAAAGGTATTACTGAAATAGAAGAGGTTGTAACGGTGCATTCTGCTTGTTTTGCATACGCATATTTAATACAACATGTATTGTGAAGAACCCAGACTCTTCAAGGTTGGGAATTCGTTTAATACGCCACTCCTGAGTTGGATGGAGCAGACAGCTTGGAAAGGAAAATAAAAAGGCTGTACATTATTGTAGCTGCCAATTTTCCAAAACTTTGATTTGACAGCCTTTACCTTTATGCTTCAGGTGCTCTGTCTCCACTAAAGCACTGAAGAGGAGATTTCATGAGAGGCTGCGGAAGTAACCAGGTAATTAATTTGGCGTTTTTTTGGTTTGATTTTTTGGTTTGGGTATTTTTTTTTTCCATTTACTAAGTTCCTTGAGCATACTAAATTCACTGACTGCCTAAACAGAACTTAAGTTTGTATTAAGATCAATGTGAACTGTCTGAGGAGTATTTATATAAACAAATACATTCTAAATACCAAAATCAATGAACTGTGAATCATCCTCAAAATGCACAGAGAACTTAATAACAGTGAAACTGCTGTGTGGATAAATATTTTTGTCCAGAATTTCAGGTCTGCTAAGCTACTCTTATACCATCAAAACAATTGCTAAGCAACTTAAACCTGTCCTGCAAGAGCACAGAAAAATAATGAGCAAGAATACAAATGCTCCAGTGATGCTGTATTTTTCTGGAATGACTGAAGCCACTGAACCAATCCTAGAATTGGGGAGGTGAAAAAGTGCACACCAACTCCTTCATATTAATTTCCTATCACTGGCACTGATAGCCCAAGATGCAGTTCCGCAGCTTGCTACGTATCTTTAACCATGAAAATAGTTCCGTTAGTTTCAATTATTCAAAACATACACAGAATCAGTCCCGATAAAATGTATTTGCATGTATTTGGTTGCATTTCAGCCTCAAGCAGTTTTCTGATGTATAGCAGATGGGAGTATGGAAGGATATTGTTTCTAATGCAAATTTTTATTACCATTGTTGAAAGGACATGCCAAGGATAGGATTTATTCTAAAAATATACTTATATGGGAACTGGAAGGATAAGTACTGTATGGATAGGCGATGCCTACACTAGTTTTTTCACAAGCTACCAACTGAAGCACAGATTAGCATTTTGTCATTGGTTTTGCCACATGTACTACCTAGGACAGAAAAACTTTGTTTCTGCCATGAAATTGCACTCTCAGTTACAAAATTAATCAAGGATCTTTCATATCAATGTATATTTTTTTTTTTTTTTTTTACACTGATGGAATTCAGGTGTAGTTACCTTCCGTTGTGTTTTTAAACTAGACTATTTCACATTTTGACTTGAGCTCTTTGTATTATAAAAGGTAATTATGTTGATCAAAATGTATTGTCCTCTGGTTCAAACTTAAATTCGAAGATTTAACATGGCCACTCTGAATTTAATGTGCTTGCAAAGGTCCAAAAAATAAATCCATTGCTTAGAGCAAAAATGTAACAAAAGGGAGCAGTATAGGTTACAGCAAAGGAGCAACAGCAACAAAAAGACTGCAGAATATTTCAGGTAATGTATGTATTCTATTTTTTAATTTTTTATTTTCTTGTTTTCTTCCACCATAGATTGCTTAAAGAAATGATACAAAAAAAAAAGCTCTATTCAGCTTCCCCAACCATTTAACCACTCTGAAGTAGAGAATGCAATCTATGTATATCTTCATTTTGGGTATTCTTTGTAAATAATGTTCTTTTTACTTTTGTTATATATGTCTCTCCTATTTACATAATTTATTTTTTCACTGTAATTAACTGATGGAAATATTAGAAAGAAGTAAATTTACATCAAGTTATTCTTTTTTTAGGCAAATATAGAATGACTTAAACAAACCTAAGACACCATCAAACTTATCTGTCTGCACCACACATTTGAGAAACTGAAACTTTCTGAGTTATTCAGCTTGAGTCGAAGGTGATTTAAGTAAGAGTCTTCTGTACCATTCACAGTGG